GGAGTATTCCACATGTGGAGCAGAAGCCATATCGAGAATAACAATGGTAAAAGCGTTTATCAGCAACCATGTAATAGTTAATCGTTTTGCTGGGCGAGTTGGAATTGAACCAGCGGTGCTTTACCGAGGTTTTAAGTGCAGAAAAAAGTCCGGTCTTGTCATTAGTACTAGACTTGGTGAACCCATTTATGAGTCTGTTGCGACGAGCAAGCCATGTGGAGTATCGTCTAAAGTTATTGTCATTGTTATTGTACTCGTGTGTTGGAAGTGAGTATATTCTAGCAAACTCACTCACAAGTGTTGGTGTGCATTCTTCATTACATCCAAGGAATAGCAACATTATCGTCGTTTCATAAACTTTACCGTTATCATACGCTCTTTTGCGAATAGCGCAGTAAACGTTGTCAATTTGGGTTGACTCTATATCGCGGATATCCTCGTAAGGAATCCATTTCAGTCTTAAGACTTCATTTTCACTTTCCAAGGAGGATTGAATCAAATTCTTGATTGCTGGATTGTTAACGACCGCTAGAGTTAACGACATAGTTTTAGTTAGCGAATTTCTCAAGCCAACACTTAATTGTGTTACACTGCACACTTTACATTCACTGACAATCAACTACCAAAAAAGGACACCTTCGGTTGAAAATGATTGCCTTTAGTATTAGTATTAGTAAATATGCATAATTCTATACCGAAAATTTTTGTCATAAGGACAGAACACGTTTATTATATTTTACTTTATTTTGCGTTTAGAGGTTAACCGTGCACGTTTAAGTCTATCTAAGGACTGTAGTTTCTATCGTTGACATATTGTGGCAAAAGTTGTGTACTAATTCAAACTATACTTAATCCTGAGGTTGTACTATAGTTTCACCAAATGTTGCCGCAAGCTCCTGTAGGAATTAAAACCCAAGTTGTTGATGTTCAAGTGTCGGTAGGCAACTTTCAACTAAAAAATGACATTGAATTTCTGACAATGACTGCAATTTGGTCATGCTGATTGTGTTTACCGTAATTCGTTACTCGTATGACTATTTACCATTGGTATTGGTATAAATCTAGAGAAATTCAATTAGAATTATGGTAATGAAGGCATATTTGAGAAATTTTGTTAGCAAAGCATATCTGTGGCTTGCTATTTAGATTTGAACGATCACCTTTAGTTTGTGCACAACGTTTGAATTACAACGTACAGTATAATCGCATTGCTTATAAGAGAGCAGTCGTGTGATAGCCCTAGCTTAACAAGACAGATAAACAAACCAAGATAATGTAATGCTTTGAGCGTTGCGTTACTAGAATATTTACTATTTTTTTTTCAAGACGTGACAGCAGTTTTACATCAGTATGATAGATGGTATTCCATGTTGTTATCATTAAGGATGGCCGGCTGTTGTGTTAACAAAAGAAAGCTTCTACATTGATTAACGTCAAGTATTCATTACGAGCGGAAATGAAAAACGTCACATATATTGGATAGCTTCTTGCAATGATTCTACTCCATTTTTTTTTTCGCGCATTGTAAACTATAATGTTAATGTAATTGAATGTAGTGGAAATTCCGGTCAAGCAGTTGAAACTAAAATAAATTAATAAAATAAGTTAAAAAACCAACTGACATACCAATCAAAATTTTCATTATGAAAAATTTAGTATTTTCAACATACACACACATAAACTGGACGTGTGTTGTTGGAGAAAAGAGCGGTATATTTAATCAAAGTATACGGTTAACTATAAAAAATATGCGAGGTATAAAACAAACACAAAAGTACATCAAGTAGTAAACGCAATAAATGGAAAGGCAACTATTATTAGTTATCTAATTTTACAATTGTAAAATTACTATTATTATTATGCCGATTAATGACATGATAAGAAAGGTGATTACAACAATAACGATAACAACAATTATGTAGTGCTGACAATCAAGAGAATGTAACAACGACGTAATATAAACGGAATAGAATATATCAATTGCATATGTGTCTGGTAGGAAAGTTTTATTAATTTGCTTTTTTTTTAAAATAACCGTACAGTCTTATGTCAATCTTTTCATGCAGTTTTTCCCTGGTTTTTTTGTCAAACCTTGAAAATTGTCAATTCAACCGCTTAATTAAGCCAGTAATAGTAATACTACAATTACGTCTACAATAGTCAAATCATTTCCATTTAAAGGTTAATTGATAGATTCTCTGTCGACCATTCGACCGGCTGCATCAATTTTGTGATATAAATTTTCGATTATCCGACCAACATTAATATAATAGAAATTCCCATGGTATGTTTACGCTCTCAGATCGAAAAAAGGCCTTATATTATGTCATTGAGTGCCGAACAGAAGCGGGAGATGTGTCAGCGAAAGCTGAAAACACTCCGATCCACTGGATGCTAGTGGTAATGTTAGACATCTATTTTATACTTTTGTTCGTGTTTGTTGCCGTGGAAAATGTGGAAATTGCAAACGCAGCACTCGACGATGATGAGATTATACAGAAATTCTTGTTGTGTAAGTCCGCAAAAAACGACGAAAATTCGAATACGTCGAATTATAGAGGAGTCCTGAGATAGCTCAAAACATCGAACTTGAAACAGAGGATTTGACAGTCATCCGACGTATTATCAATGAAACCGTTTGTATTCACGTAAACAACCATCTATAATTACCCTTGTTTAATAATTTCCCAATAGTCAAATCCTTCTGATTAGGGAACACTTTAATTAAAAATACGAGATCTTTTTTTTTTTGACAAAACTGAATCTGTAACCACTCTTTGATCTTTCAAAAAGCATTCTGCTTGGCAGGATTATTGGATATTCGTTAATTCCCTGAACGTTAGCGGTCTATCGTTCAAGATTCAATAACTGTCTCGTCATGGACCTCCGAATTCATAATCTCCTCACGGCAAGAAAAGATGGACATTGTGCGTGTAATACTGATGATCTATTACAACCCCCAAATGAAAGGCAATGTAACGCAATGCAAGAAAAAAAAACAACATCGTGCAACGGGGTCTTTTTAAGCAGCAAAAAAGAAGGTCCAGTACGTATTGATTGATGGGATCAGGAACACAAGTTTGACCAGCAGACTGTAAAGGTGGATGCTGACATAACAATGCAGGAACGCCAAGTTTCATCACCATACAAATTACAAATAGTCGTGACAAAGTTTTGGGGGCTTGTAATAATTAACTTGTAAATTGTCTTTCCATACTTTGTTTATTTCATTCCTTAATCCCAATATCAAATTAATAACTGTTGTTGGCATCTCGATACAACTCTCGAAACACTGTGCGAAATTCCGCCCAAAAAAGCCAAAAAAGAATATTTTTTACTACGGGATTTACATTATTACGTCATACAAAAGCTTGCGCCCAATAAATCATTCCATGCACAGTTACACGAATAAGAGCATTTGTTTGCTTTTTTGCATTCTTTTTTCCAATTACACGTTTTTACCATTCCGTCCTTTGCTCCCATACAACTACTGCTTTAGCAGCAGGTCTCCCATACTCTGTCCTAACAAAGATAGTCTTTCAAACTGTCACCTACAAGTAAACTAGTGTTTTGGCTGCTGCGGACTACATTCTGGATATTCGAGAACGTAATCAAGCTACTGGTAATGTACACCATTAGTAATTTTTTCCTCCTCGGAATGGCCAGTTGTACCAGTTTGCTCTTTAATGCGTCCGTCGAGTGAATGATTAGACCACATACTTGAAGAAAGGGAACGTGTAGAATGGTTTTTATTATAGTCATTCTGGCCGCGACACACGATACGAGTGTCTCTGATATCGTTTCTCATTATTGTTTTCATAGTCAATTTTCCATTTTTAATTCATAGCATTCATGCATGCGTATCCTCACATGTCTATAGTCCTCATATATTAACTTTTATTATTGTTGCTTACAACAGGACAAAATGGGCAGTAGAAAACGACGGCGCACGGTCTCCAGCCTAATCCCGCATCCTGTCGTTACTCGCCCAAGCGCTTGTCCCAGCAGCATAACACGCGCGTGCAATCTGCCACCAGAATGCATAATAAAAATCTTAGTATATTTGCAGGCGTCTAGTCTTCATTCATGTCGAGAAATAGGAGCCGAAACCAAATACCGCCAACACGGCCAGGACGACATAAAATCACTGAGATCCTGCATGCTTGTGAACCGAACGTGGTGTGAGATTGTGGCACCTATTCTTTGGCGTCGACCGTTCAACTATCAACCGATGAAGACTGGTAGATGGCTGATCGATATGTATCTTCGATTTTTGTCGCCGGAACAGAGAAAGTATTTAGGAATAAAACTGTTGGATAAATCGACTCCGCTCTTTGACTATCCCTCATTTCTACGCGAATTGCATTATCAGGAGCTGTATATCGCAATATTCGACTGGGAAAAATCTCATTATAAATCAGAAGCCGAGTTTGAGAAACGCGTGGCCGAGTGGACTTCCAAGACAAGGTCACACAATGACTTGGCGAATTATTTTCCCATTTCCAAGATTGGCGCGGAATTAGCAAAGATGTTTCTATCCAAATGTTCGACGTTCGATCTCTTGTGTTTGGGCACATCTCGTATAGAATATAAATGGAATGAAGTGCAAACAGCGCACGTCGCTTTGCCCACATTTCCTGGAGCGAGAAAGGCACTCTCACAGCTTTGGGGGTTTGTGTGTTCTGGAGATTACGAGAAAAGGGAAATATTTGAATCCATGTCGGAATATTGTCGTGAAATCTCTGTATTGACGGCAGATGGACTATTTGAGCGGGAAGAAGGTGTGCACGAAGCCCTTTCGACATTGATTCGAAGTCAGAGGAAGCTAGAGATTTTCATTCTATGTCGATGTTTCAATACATTCAAGGTTTTGCCTTCGCTGGATAGCCAGCGGCGCACGTTACGATATTTGCAATTTACAGAATGCCACTTTATGGGAGCTGATCCTCTGCTTGTGTTACAAAATAGTGATAATGCGATCAGGCAGCTCGAGTTTGTAGATTGCAAGTTCTTTGCTTGTAGTAAACCGCGCGACAAGATCAACTGCAGACAGCTGGAAACATTGAAATTCAGCAAGTGTACTTCGATAAATGGTATTATTGATGGATTCACTGGTTGTAAATTTCCCCAGCTGAGTGGTTTAGAGATAGCGGATACTGCATGTGATGCGGCCCCCTTGTACGAGGTGCTGAAAAATGCTGGCGGTAGTTTGAGGGAGTTGAAGGTACTTTCTGTGAAAGGTATCGGATCGGGGAGCACGCTAATTGAGCATTTGGCCAGACATTGTCCTAATCTAGTAGTACTGCATCTCGCACTTCAGCACGAAGCGCTGAATAAATTGTGTATTCTGTTTCGAGCAACAAAGAATTTAGTAGAAATGGTAATTGATAGAGGGACGGACGTTAGAGTGGTGCACGATATGAGCAGTGTGTTGAGCAGTCTGGGGGCGGATGTGCCGGCTTCCTTGCGAGTGTTGTCTATAGGAACGCATTGCGCATTCCAAATTCAGGCAGTGAAGGTATTTCTTGGACAGTGTAAAGCACAAATGAAGTCGTTAACGTTGTATAGTTATGGGGGTGAGGATGAGAACAAGGAAGTGATAACGGGATATGCTGGAAGGAGAAAGTTTAAGATAAAGAAGGTTCTGCATAATCAATCTGCAGTTGCTAAATTGTCGGTTGATTTTGACTGAGTGAGGTGAATGACTGTATAATAGAAGTGAAAAAGTGGGATATATGAAAAGAGATGTGTTTTTTTTTGTCAGTTTATTTATGTTGTTGTTCTTTGGCACAGTGATAAAGTAGGAGTTACTGTTCGTTTAATTAGCTAATTGTAGTTAAATAATTTGTCGTGAATGAATAATAACGTAGTAGTAGTAGGAGGCTCTTTACAGTTTTTTTTAACGTCGAATTTTACTGTAATAAACTATGAACTGTATGTCTCAAAACATGTTAATGTATGGTTTACAATTTTTCATGACCAGCACTCACACTTGTTAACTTTACAGCATTTCTTGTGTAACCAACCATATTTAGCGATTGCCTATAAAGTATTATAATATACGATGACTTGTTCAAGTAAGTGACATCATTCATTGCTATCAAATTTATTACAGAAATGTGTAGCAATCATTGTAAACAGTGAAAGTAATATCTTTCCGGGTTAGTATGATTCAATAGTAAATAGGGATAGAACATATTATACATGAGGAAGAAAATTAAGGCAAGATTGGACAGACACGGAGTCACCAGAGGAGTATGCAATTGGCGTTTAGATGATAGAAGGCTCAAATTGTGTTGATAAAACTCTATTGAGGTTGTCAGTTTCTTACACTTTGGTACTATCCTTCAGACGTTAGTGTTGGATATTCCGTCCGATTTTGTATGTCGGCTTCAGGCGATGGCAACTCTCAAAAAGCTGATCAGTACGGTGCTTGGAAATACTTATTAAAAAGGCTTGTTCACTTTGTTTGCAGTAATTTCATGGTTTTACAAATATAAAAGTTATCGATCTTTATAAATGTCGGATTGCATAGAACGTTTTTAAAGCGAACATTTGAAGAGCGGTTGAGGATTAAGAGAAGCCATTGATCTACGAATACTTGATCATGATTTCCAAAATACTCTGAAGGAACGAAAACAACGAAAGCAGGCTATTTCTTGTTGAATCTTGCCTTAGCGTTAGTTACTTCGATTATCTATGTGACCTTTAATATATGGCATTGTCCCAAAATAAACATTATGATATCAAATTGTTGCCTGATCACAATTTTATGAGTCAACTACCTACACGGTCATTCAGCATTGCATGTAAATAAGCATATTTAAAATTTGATGATAAATCACTAGCCCGAAGAAAAAAACAACATTGGAGTCTACAAGTCTAATACTGATAGTTTTTAGTCCATACAGTTAATGTGCTGCACATCGATACGCAATAATTTAAGTACCGTAGGTAATTCCGTCACGAAAAGAGATAAACTATTCCACTCATCTCGCCTTAGCGGTTCGGGGTACCAAACCTGTCCTGATGGGACTAGAAAGCGTACTGATTATGAAGCGATGTAAACGTCTTGTATCCGAACTTCGATAACCGGTACAATGCAACTTTAGTAAACTTTGTATACCTTGGTGATCCGCGTGATGTAACACAATAATAATAATAATAAAGTCTCTCCCCGATGAGTAAACCCTGTTATTCAAACGATGTCATTAGTTCCAGCAATTGACAACTTGGTTCAATTCTCCCTGGAGGGGGTTGGATTAAGACTTGAATGGATTCCTTACGAGGAAATCAGCGATATAGAGTCAACTCAACTTAACAACGTCTATTACGCTGTTCGCAAAACGAGATATGGTAAAACGACGATAATGTTGCTATTCCTTGGAAGTAGCGAAGAATGTACACCAACATTTGCGAGTGAGTTTGCTAGAATATACTCACTTCCAACACACAAGTACAATAACAATGACAATAACTTTAGACGATATAAGAAATGGCTTGAAGGGCGCAACGGACTCATAAAGGGGTTTACCAAGTCTAATGACAATAACTATTACATGGTTGCTCGTAAACTCTTTTACCATTGTTATTCTCGATATGGCTTCTGCTCCACATGTGGAATACTCCGATGTAGTCCCGTGTGGTGCATTTGTGGTTATAAACAATTATCCGATGGGTGGACTAGCAACAATCACCAACTCGATGACTTTATTAAGAAATCTCAACTACAAACAAACTCTCCAAATGACGCCTATTTGGAATGGATTCCATTCGATTGTATTGAAGATAGGGGAGATGGATATGGAGACTTGTATGGTCTACCTATTTCTTATTACGTAATTGTTAAATTAATTCCACTTGAGATTACAGACGAGACACATGATTTATATTATGCCGAGGTAAACTATTTACTTATGCGTCATATTTATTGAATGGTTTAAATAATTATTGATTTATTATTATGTATCATTAGTTGTGCGATAAATATCCAGATATTCCTACCACAAACGTTTGGGCTACCATCGGATTTACATACAAAGCAAGCGATCAAAAGTATTATCTCATAAAAGGACATGGATTATGTCTGGCGTGTGCAGCTGCGTATAAACGTCATATAAATGCATTTTGTTGTGACTGTAAAGCACCACGACCTCTTGATTGGACAACTGGTAACAAGTCATTGGATTCAGTTATTATAGAGTCATGGAGTAATACAAGGAATAAATATGATGCATATATACAATGGGTCGAATATTCTCTATTGACAAACGTACAAGAAATGACATCATTACGCCATGGATGCACACATGTAGCGGATTTGACAATGATTGAATCAACAAGAGTGACGCTCAAAAAGATAGTTGACGAACAAAACGATCAATTTTTTGATTTTCATCAGGTAAATTATTTCACGCGTAAGCGATGCAATTGATAGTTCGTACCGTGCATTTAACACTGATTTGATTATTGCTATAACGGTTGTATTTTTATAGCTGACCAAGGAATACCCGGAGATATTAACACCTGATAATATTTGGATAATTGGGATCACTCAGGAACCATCTACTCGGAAATACTATTTAGTGTTCTACCACGACGTCCATGCAATATTGGACAGATTTATACATATTAACGAAGATGTTGAGTACATGCAATACAGTGACTTTTATGACATTAAGCAGATAGGATCTGGTGGTTATGGAACAGTTTACACTGCCAAATATAGAAACTATTTAGAAGTAGAGAATATGGCGGAAACAGTTGTACTCAAACGGTTTAACAGTTTTGACGAAACGCCGGAATTATTCATATCCGAGGTAAGCAATAATTGGTAGTATTAATTAAATCGCTATTTAATCTGACTCTATATTATTTTATTTAACAGTTCAGAAATCATGCCAAGTGTTTATATTATAACTTCCTTCAACTTTACGGAGCCACACAAGACCCAGAAACAAAAGAGTACATAATTGTTATGCAATATGCTAACAATGGTAGTCTTTTGTCTTATTTAGATCAAAATATTAACACATTGACGTGGAGAATGAAATTGGAGCGTTTGAGTAATATTGCGAATTATCTAGAGTTCATCCATCGTATGGGATTAATACATTGTGATCTTCATAGCGGAAACGTTGTTATACATGACGATGACGATGACGATGTCGATTTCTATGAATGGCGTAAATCATTGATATGCGATTTTGGTCTCGCGCGATCAGTGAATTCACGTCAACAAAATTTAACCGTTCGAGGCGTTTTACCCTTTATTGCACCGGAAGTCTTCCATACCTGCAAATTTACACAGAAATCTGATGTGTATTCTTTTGGTATCATCATGTATTTGATTGCTACTGGTGAACCACCTTTTAGAGATAGACAGTTTGATAGAGATTTAATATGCGATATTATGGGTGGACTACGACCATCGATGCCTGATTCTGCACCAGAGGAATACAAGAAACTTGCCGAGCAGTGTTGTGATGCTGATCCTTATAAGCGTCCGGATGCAAGGACACTTTGGCGTGATATACGTGAGCTTAAATATAAAGTGAGGAATGACAACACGTGGAACACTATCTATTATAACGATGTAACACCCTTATCACGTCTCGAGAAAGAGAGTAAATATTCTAGTAAGCTTTTACCTACTGGAGATTTGCCTAAACCGAGAAATAACTATGACTTGGATTCAGCTGCAGGTATGAATACAATATTTGGTTATTAATGAAGTTAGCTTACAATATTAACAATGCCCATTGTTTACTTTAGTGACTCAAACATTCTTTGAATAACCTGTAATTCACGTGTTCTTTACTCCTCATATAATTAAATAAATTAGTACGACAGGCTTCAATATGGGGGTTGAGTTAAAAAAAATCGTTACAAGGAGAACATGTTTATGCTCCAATTGATTCTATAAGGCGACTGATTAAAAACCCATTTCTCCGGCACTCGATGATTACAAGTCGGTTCGGGCGGCAATAGATGCTGACCAATGCAATGAGGCGGTCAATATTCACTGACCGAAAGAGTTTACCTAGACAGTATTTCAATACTGCTTTCATAAGTGTGGGGTGTTGACAAAATGTCTATCTAGATAAAAATTCGATTATTCATACAAACACCTCGTTTATAATTACTCGCCCAACAGTAATTTAACAACGTTCTGTATAGCAGATCACTTTATCCGCGCGCGTCGAGTTGATCTGCATTCCATTCATCTTGAAATCACGCGCGTTACGAGAATATCAATGCGTGGGAGAAACGTGTAAATTGGATAACTGGTGAATATGAATGGACATCATTTGATAAATGTTATAAGAAACAACCTAGCTTTTCGTGTAACTTAATACTAGTCTGTCGCTGGAATCGGAACCGATTCTACAGATGCAAACGAAGAAATGGTGCTTTTTCTGGTAAAGAGCCCGCACTTACGTTTTTGACTCTACCTTTTTTGAAGATTAGCCTTCTGTTATTCATAGCGATGATATTCATCAAAAGGTAATGTAAATACCTGTTTTAGAAAATAATTAATTTGGTCACCTAATCGTTCAAACAACTTTGAAGTATGATCTTACATTATACATTACAAGGCGTAAAACACTGCTTAAACCAGTTGATGTTGTATTATTGTTAACCTTTTTGGTAGGGTTTCACCTTTAATTAACTCAATGTTGCTTTTATAGAAAGCGGAAAATATGAAGTATAATCTTATTTGCCGCAACGGGTCAAAAATGTGTGGAGAAGGGGGGGGGGGAGGAGGAGGAGGAGAAACCTTTGATGACTGTTTGTTCACGTTGTTGTTATGCTACATACATAATACAGTACATCTTAATCATTCATAATGATTGCATTATTCTGGGCAGCTACTGAATCAAGCACAACATCAGGAAACTTTACAATAATAACTCGCCATGAACCGATGCTTTGCTATACGTTCTATGCATTAAATCATTTAGGTGAAATCCGTTTTCATTAACTAGTATATAAGTATATATATAAATAAGTCTACAAAAATTCAACAAACAAAACTCTCCTACATAGTAAACTGACTTGTCGTCTTATATTAAAAAGAGAATGAATAAATTGTCAAGAAAGGAGCAACAGGTCGAAAGCATGCTAATCAGAAACGAAGAAAAAAAATTTTTTCAAGTACATTAAAGCGTACTGTGCTCCATTCGACTTTCAGATCAGAGCAGACATTGAGGAACTTGGAATAAATAAAAACGATCATTGAATTAAAAAAAGGTTATAGAAATGTCACTGCTGCTTACAAGCTACTATGAATTGCATCACAAATTAAACACTGTACATAGTTTGAGAACGGGGTCAGAACGAAATAAAGTGGAATAATTACGAGTAAATGAAAGGTGTCCTTGTAAAAATACTATGCACCATCAAAGAATGAAAGGTAAAAAAAAATGAGTGGTGACTTTTATTTGCGTGGAAGCGGTTGTATGTAATAATCTACGCCCAGACCTAGACAATGGAAGAGGATGAAATCAGTACGGGATATAGAGACATTGATATGACATTAGGAAATTCGCTTTGGCTCTACTTGCCAATTCCTCCTTCCTCCCCCATCCTCTCGCTTACCTTTAACAATGAATCCCAACTACCCGTACACAAAGCCATGCCGTCAACGGAAACACCCAAACAGCTGACACGATTCTCGTGTGCTGCCAATACTCCCACACGCTCGCCTTTCAATGTATCCCAGACGTTACAATTAAAGTCGTCATAGCCAGCAAACAAAAGACGCCCGGAAATTGAGAATGCAACCGAGGTAATCCCGCAAAGAATGTTGTCGTGTGTGTATTGATTTAGTTCTCTATCAGCTCTGAGATCGAACAGCCGGCATGATGCATCATCGGAACCAGTACCAAATGCGTCACCGTTAGGGAAGAACCTGAATGTTTGCGAAAGTTGCGAGAAAGCATTATTGTTAGGTGAGCGCGGCGAGTCGGAATAAATGGGCTGTTTTGCACGGGACACAAGACACGCATGATACTTACTGTACTGCATTAATATCTGATTCATGTCCAGTAAAAGTCTGTACACATCGCCCACTCCTGATATCCCAGATTTTTGCCGTGGCGTCACAAGCACCACTAACGAAAATTTGCTGCGTTGGTGCAAGACTCAAACTCATGACATCTCCGGTATGGTCTTGAAACTCTGACACTTTCATGCCTGCGTCAATATCCCATAAAATACATGTCATATCTCCGCTAGACGTCAATATCTGTCGATCGTTCAAAAACCGACAGCACGATAAATATCCAGTATGCGATCCCAGCTCTCGTGCAACTTTTACAGACCCTTCCCTAGTACGTAGATTATAAATTGAACAGATATTATCAAGACCACCACATGCTACAAAGCCGCCCGACGGAGCATAGGCGCAGGTCATGACCCATGACGAACGAAGTGGGATGGCGTGGACCTTGTTCGTGGTCGGAGCGTCCCAAACGATTAGTTTGCCGTCTTGAGATGCAGAGACCAAGTGACGTCTATCTGAGGCCCAGTGCATGGCATAGATTTTGGCTAAATGACCCTTGAGTGTGCGGCGAACTTTCATCACGATACGTGGAAGAGAGTCAATCTCGGCTGCCATGGACCTCACTACAGATATGATAAGCAAAGAATGGTCAGATATTTTAATCGGATGCTTGGCAGATAGAAAGAAAGACGGCAAATATTTCTAGTGAATATACAACTAAAAGTGGGGGGGAGGAGAGTTTCTTCCTTGTAAAAAAAAAGTTGATAAACTGAACTGTAAAACCTGTTACTTTAAACTTCATTCTCAATAATCTCAACACTGAAATTACATAAACTCTTATATTATCCCATAATACAATTGTAAAGGTTCCCTAGGAAAACGGCATATCTATCAATCGCTCATATTCACTCATCAACTTGTGCGTACTCTTTCCACCTCTTTTTAAATCGTTCACACTCCTATCCTTTCTTTGTTAATCACATGGACATTCTATCAACTCGGAAGGGGAAAGAACAATCCTAAAAGTCATGTAAAAAAATTGTTCCTATTGATACGAAGAATGGAAGACGGAATATAAGGTAAATACATACAAGCTGTATCAGCCAAAGCATCCTTCTTCATCTTAATTTTCTCTTTCAGGGTCTCTGCCTCTTTGCGTGCGGCAGCTATTCTATCTGCAATGTCATTCATTATTGTCTTGGTATTTCACTCTTTTTTTTTTCGCAAGTGGCGACGATTCTAGATGTTTTTTCTTTGTAACGGTACAAGTGTTGTATATATATAATACAGTATACGAGTTTTAATTCCGAGTTGTAGATTGTGTTTTTTCTAGTGGAGACAGATTCGAGGTGCAGGTGATGTTTGGGAAGAACACCTTGTCACGCAGATGAGACATTCACTAGAGTCGAGAAAGAACAAAAAAGAGAATAAGTTGCTAAAGTTAATATTAATTGTGAGGGTCGTTAGTGGAACCTAGTTACTTGCCGAAAGAAGACAAAACAACTTGTTCGTAATACGCAAATAGTTTGTACCAATGAGATTTGATAAACGGAGTCAAAGTGTTGTGTCGGATATCAGTCGCCGGGGGTATGTGGAGTTAAACCAGTTGGGTTATTTTATTTAAACCACTAATTTGATGTCGTAACCCTCCTTTGTTTCTTTTGTTCCCCCTTATTTCCCATTCTTGTATGATGGCCAATTAACGTGCATTGAATTCTTTCTGTCGATCTACAAATCCCGTGATGATATTAGTACTGCTTTGTTATTAATATTAAAACCTTATTCCCTATCAAGTACAATTTGATAATTCGGGAACCAGGAAAATTCTTCTTTCATCAATAAAGTTAGTGCGCACATTGTCTTTAATCTCGGTATAAATATATGTGTACAAAATTAAACAGTCGATATTAATATTCCGAGACAATTCTTTATAATTACTGCAGCAAAAAAAAAAGTAAAATCACATTCAACAACTACTCGTATGTGATGGACTTGACGGGTGTGGGCAAGCAAGCATAAAGCTCGCACACCCTGCAACACCCCGAAAATAACAACCCACGAGGCAAAAAATTTAACGACAAACTCATTTAGAGAAAATGAGATGATCAGCGCATTATAATAATAATAATAACAACAACAACTGATTGGATGCATCCGATTGGTTACCTTTGCAAATCGTGCAGGGTTAGACTTTATTTTCCAATTACGATCATACGCTTAGCGTTGAGTTAGTATTAGTATTAGTAGGGTCTTATTTCGTAACAATGCTACACAACTTATATTTGACTGCCATATGGTAATAATAATTCGTGACAATAAACACATTGTTTAAGCTTGATGTTTCGTGCATGAAACTTTAAAGTAACCTGATAGCCGAAATGTGTTAATTTTGTGACAGCTAATGAATAATTATTATGACATAAACTAGAAATCAGTTAATACGTCGAGCCAGCTAATTAGAGCTGTAATCAATCCTCGGAATTAATTATTCACTGGCAATTGGTGTCTTGATAAGGGGTTCTATACTTCAAGGCTTAATTTGACTTGTCATTTTGACGAGTATCGTGCAGCAGAAAATTTAACAAGTGAGACTTATTAATAATTGGATGTCCAATGAGAGCTCAACTCTACTGTAAGGAGAATTCCAAAGTCAAACCGAGATGTGTTAAAGTAATCATCTTTGTTTCGTAATATGGATCACATCTTTAACATTTCTTACATCGTTTCCATGTCGGATATCGGTTAAACGTCTGAACTCTGGCCCAGAATTTCTACGCGTACTTGCAACCGACTGATTGCACGATGAATAGTAAAGTTACAAACGTCATTTAAACTTTACGGCAAGCTTGCGGCAAACGACAACAGGCTCTGCGACATTATTGAATAGCGAATGCTGTATTTACTTTTCGAGGACGTGTTTGTTAATACAAACACACACAAATACCCAAACTGGAAAGAACACATACGGTGGCGGGAGTGGCGGTAGTTGGTATCTCAACAAACTGCTATCGTATGACCTGTCCAATGAAAGACGAATTTCACTGTCATCGTTATACAATGAGTCCTAATCAAGAAAAGAGGATGAAAACAATCTAAATTAGGTAAAATCAAAGCATTGTTGTTATTGAACGATCTGATAATGAATCATTATCATAACGGATGACAATAATTAATAATGCTAATGATAATATTAACACATTAATATTATATTTGCTATGCTTTGTTCGGAGGGTCATTCAAGTACATGGGAAGTGAAATAAAGACATGTCAATTGTTGAAAGCGCAAGGCGTCCCATATTATATTCAATCAGACAGAAAAATAAAAAGTATTGTTGATACAAAATTGGTTGTAAAATGAGAGAACTGACCCCCCGTGGAAACGAAAAAAAGAACACTCGTGATCATTAGACGCTCATTTGTTGCTTTAGTAAGCAGTTCTGTGCGATTCTGCGGCTACTACGGAATGCGAAACTCTACGGTTCATTGAAGTGGTTCGCAGTTGATTAACCGGGAGTTTCACTCGATTGCCCAATCATCGTGCATGTCAAATATTTGCGGCGGACAAATCATAACCGTTCTTGTCCCGAGATTTAAGCGTTGAATTAATTATTTCATAAGGGCATTCGTTAGCCCAGCCCCACTGTATACAAGAATGTTGTTGATTAGTTGAAAACACATAATCGACCGGCAGGAACGCATTACTATCGCTAAAAAGTGCCCCTGTTCTTGATAAAAATGGCCGGAAATATTTATTATGTTCTTCTCTATTAAAGGGGGTATATATTACTTTACGCATCAATACAGAGTAGTTGTTGCGATCCTATATAAGGTTACAGTCCATTTTACTAGTAAGGAAAAAGTGATCATTATGATTATTGTGCGCTTACATAATTATCATAATTAGTGACTCATCGCTGTCAACATTACAAGGACGTGGTCTAACAACCAACGCTTGTTCTTGAATTGGTTTATAATAGCAGAAATTACTAACCGTCTTCATCATCATATTTACAATTGATAAGAAGTGGGCGTAAAAGTTATTTTTCATCAACGGATCGGGCAAATTTTATATTTTCTTTACGTACGATTTTCAGACAAACTAATTATCCAAACCGAAATACTATATGATAACCGATTTTTTGTCACCGCCAGTATTTTCGCAAGTCAGCAGTCAAGGGCGCGCGATCCATGTATGGGTTGTTGCAGCATACATCAAATGTCAATTATAAACAAGTTTGAGCTTATGAACATTCTCTGTCCGAGAGAATGATATCGGGACACCGTTTTCTGGATTGCAACGAACGAATACTTTGTGTCAGATCAATTTTGACATTGAAAGTTGGATTGTCTGAAATTAATCTTCCCTGATGAGTTAATTATTTTTCTGCGTTTGTGTAGAGTTTACTAACTCACGTACAATTACCCGACAATGATTTTATCTGCTCACATATTTGATCTTCCAATCGCTTACACAAGAGATTTTTCCACAGTCGTAATGAATCAAGTTACCATTCGAATACTCTATCCTTACTTTCGTGATATTGAACAGGCCAAAAACAATTGACAATGTATTCAATCTAATTATATTCCTCAATCGAAGAAGACACGGGTATTAGATTGTTCTCTTAACACAATTGACACAGTACGTTTCGTTAAAGTTCTTTGGCGCGTCTCTATTAACAGGGGGGGGGGGATTCCGAAACCACTGCCGTTAATCATTTGGCTCCTCCGCTCATTGATTCCTTGACGTATTTGCTTGGCCACACGTAGCTAGGGTGTATCAAATTCGACTACTATTCTTGTCCAAGTAACCAATTTCCACAAAAGCGACAAAGTCTTCGCTATCAGGAAAATAGGAGATGTTTCCTTTGCGTATGTGTATAAAATAATGATCATGCTTGGGTAACTCTAATACTGACAGCAAAGTTTTAGCTTCCTTTGGAGCAAATCTTTATAATAAATTCCTACGCGCAAAGAGATACTGTTAAACAAACGTTGATTTACCAAGTAAATTTTCTTCCCAAAATAATTTCCTATTTTCTTTTGAATGTAAACCTGCGGCGACTTGTTCCCTATTACCTCCGACAGCACGATATTTCAAAGACATTATCTTGGCAATCTCTGTGTCTTACGGTTCTGCATAATTGCTTCATATTCGTAATAACAACGCGACACTCATTATACTCGTAATGAGTTCGTTGTTCGTACTAGCTTGTTAGAATCTCGTATTCATCCAAAGTCTTTGATACTTTTTCGTAAACTCCTAAGAAAATGCTACCGCCAATTGAAATCCACAGCACACGTGGGCCAACACCAGAGAATAACGCACGTATTCCCTCTTCTTCCACGATTCTACGGAATGTTGATACTATTCCCGAGTAGTTATGAACCATGTGATACTAAAACCCAAATCCAAACTTGGTATGAGCAACGTCATCAACATAAAAGACAAAATTCTCTTCTTACATCTTCACCTTTGTAGAAAGCATCAATCGTGTCTTAACAACATCTAAAGGAGTTGTAATACCAGCAGCGGTACCTCCTGCAATTGAACCGCAGATCGCAGCCTCCCATGGTTCGACGCGTGCTCTGTTGCTTTTACGAGCGACCGTATGTTTCAGGAATTCATATAGCGGAAACTGTAGACATGTAAATGGGATCTAAGCACCAGCAAAGCGTTCATTAATATGTCGCCATAAATATTTTTGAATTCGTTTACCGTCCAAGTCAAACATACTTTCAACAGACCTCTCGTGCAACCGTGCTCCAGTACCCACGATATAAACCCAGAATGCCGTGCTCTTTCAACGTAAAGGATGCAGCAGCGAAAGAAGAGGATAAGTGATAAACTTGCATTCGTTGCTTGATGACTTCCGTTGGGACGCGTATTATACACGCTGCCTGAAGACAACCGAAAAGACGGGTTTACGAGTCAGCCGATGGAGGATATCAATGCCCATAAATTTTTAAAAAAAAAACAACAAAATTAAACTGACAATCTCTCCAGCTGATGCAGATGCCATATGGACAAGTGGCGGAGGGTAAGCATTAGAACTGCGTTCAGTCAGCAATTTTTTGAAGCGTTCGTATGTGAAAAAAAATACCGCAGCTTGGTATTACGTTCAGGAACTTTGGTTAGTTTTCTAACATACAAAATTATACATTTCATGGCTAAGAAACAGACGTGGAATGTGATATAATAGAATATTACACACACATGCTATAACTTACCGCTGGGTGCACTTCCAATGATTACAGCACCGAGTCCACTGTATATACCACGAAAACCGCCAGCCGCATAGAATCCTGTCCTTGACTGTAACCTCGTTTTAATTGTGTCTAATGGATACAGTGCTGTATCAACAGCAGTGCCCGCTAGACCGCCTGACTTCCAGTTCAATCATGAATGCACTTCCTTAGTAATTTCAATAGTTTGCATAAGCACATATCTCTTTTCAATTGATCAAGAAGAATTATTACCAATAACAATTGTTTACTATTAAGATGGGTATTATTTGCACGATCAGCCATTAAGATGTTTTAACAAAAAAGCGAATGACTGACAATTCTACAGATATAATTTTCAACTTCCCAAAAAGGTTACAACTCCGATGAAGTAGAGTACCGTAGAACAAAGGATTGATGAAAAATACTCACTAGGTGAATACATGCTTCGGGAACGCAGTATGAGTTTCGATCAAAAAATTTCTTGAAAAAAATTTTCCCTGCAACGTCACAGAATGTGATCAGAAAAAAAGCCTAAGTTTTTGAAAAAGAATGTTGTATTATTCGATCACATGGGAATAAGTCATTTCGATCATATTTTAATTTAGTACATCGTGCTGCTGAAAAAGGTGGAGAAGGACAATAGTACATTACTGGATATCCTGCATGTTAGCGATCTGAATATAAACACAGTGTCCAAGCATACTACCTCATTGTAATCAGCATGAGTGACAAAGATATCGCTAGAAGTCTTAGGTCCACTGCTGCCCTGCAGCTAGCTAGCCCTCCTCCTACCACCAGATTATTTCTCAATTTCTCCAAATCTTCAAGCATATTATACGGATGTAGAGACGGCTTAATCAGACCGTTTGACTTCGGAGCAAGCGCAGGCGGATTTCATCTGTCGTCATATTGAACAAATTGGCTCTTGTTATCTGTTGGTTAGTGCGATGAATGGATCTGTATGTATATAAGACCTGGTT